TATCGGAGGACGTTCTGGTTCGGGTTTAATTTCAAAGTTTTCTAAATTCAATTCGAATGGGACTAAGAAATATTAAATAGAAGATATTAAATTCGTATTTTATCAATTAATACCTATTTAAGAACTTACTAGATGATCCTTGGCTTTGCAAATAATCCCACATACCCTTCATCCAAATTTGTTGAAGGTTCTGTTTTTTCTTTGTTTCTGTTAGATCTCTCATAACTTCTACAAAATTTTCTTGCAACTGTCTAATCTGTTGTAATAGCTCATTTTGCGTAACTTGCATCATGGCAAGATGGGCATGTAAGTCACCAGTTTCCCGTCGCAAAGTCTCCGATTCCATAGCTTTTCTTTTAATATCGTCCAATAAATCAGGACGTCCGCGTAAAAATTTTGGATGAGAAAATTCCCATATTTGATTTTCAGCCAACGTACGATGTCCCCGGGGTGATTTATTAACTTTGTGAAAACCGTACCTAAGCCGCCAAGTCACATAATAAAGGTGTCAACCCATTGTATATTCTTATGTAGATTCATTCAGGTCCATTGCATTAATAATAAAATGCAAAAAACGAATGTTGCAGGAAGAACGTTAGCATTTGAATAAAATAAGGCTTACATGTTTAGTTGACGAACGAAGCTTGAAAAATTGTTATGCTTGAAATGCTTTGGAAGGACATCACGTGAAAACTCCATAATATTGCATACTATGAAAGACGAGCCAGTATAATTCCAAGCGATAAGATGTTGGTATTGTTTGTCAACAACCATACTAATGATCAGAATAAGTTTATAGGATCGAAAATAAGGTTTAAGACAAAGCAGAATTAGAATAGAATTTTTCGACGATATTACACATTCAAGACACATACAATATCTAACCTCCCCAATCGCTGCAAAAGGTTTGAAAATAACATACTTGTAAAGCTTATGAACGAATGTATTACTGCTCATCTTTACTGGCTGTGAAGATGGCGGTTGCAGTGACATTAACGACTGAGAATATAACGGTGATTGCGAAGTAGTGGTAACTGTAGGTGAAGACGGTGAAGAAGAGTACTGTAGCGCGCTCATTAGCAGACTAATTGCGTGACGATTTATTGAATCGAAAGTTGAAAAAGAACGTTCTTCCGTCACAAAATTGGATGGGACTGAGAAGTACGCTTTTACGGTTCCCCGAGGCTGGTAGGCTGGCGCTTACCATTTACGGATTTGGTGAGACAATGAAGCTTTCAGTTTGGAACACCGAATACTGAAATTTCGGAAACTATAGTCCATAACGATAATGGAATTTCACTTTTTCTAGAAATCCAAATTTAATTGGTTCATATTTATCAAATTTATAAATAGATACGTAATAGCGATAGATAATGATAAATCGCGCTCGTTAAAGCATGGCATTACCGCAAATAGGTTCGTCTTATTTCCTCATATGAAATCGATTCTATTCAATTCTTGTTTCAACAAAATATTATCTGAAAATATTCATACAGTAAATTACAAGGTCACTTACGCTCTTTCCAATGCCGAATGTCTCACATACTCGTGCAACATGGGCAATTCAGTCGAAAGAAATTTATCCTGAAAACATTTTGAACTTATTTATATCGATATTCCCTATTTTTGTCGCGGATTTAGGATATAAACCCTACTAAAATTTGCCTATACTCTTCTAAACAACCCTAACTCTAAATTCTGATCTAACTCTAAAAAAACTAGAAGTCTTAATTTTTGTGACAAGATTAATTTAATATTAGAATTAAATCATTTTATTAAAAATAATAAAAAAGCAACTATATCGATATAGACTTTTTTGTATTATTTTAATAGTTGTTAGCGTTAGGTAAACTATTAAAAACAAATTTATTTTTTTATTTTTATTTTTATTTTTTCCTTTTGATAGTTATGTTATAAACTTTATTAAGTTGTTAACTATAGCCATAGCCAAGTTACATGTGATTATTTAATCTACCTAATTTTCTAAGTCTGGCATCACCCAGCTGCTACTAGAGTGCTTAGGTATGACCTGTTGCACTAATCTTAAGGTTAGAACAAATTGTCTGACTAATTCAAAGAAAACTTTACCATTTCTTTTTCCTTTTTTCTATTATCTTAGATAATACTTCTTTACCATTTTATTTATCTAAACTTTTTTTCTTTTTTTTTTTTTTTTCTTTTTTGACAAAAGTTTTTTTCTTTCTTTGTCTGTTTGAGTTTTTACTACCTGTTTTTTCTTTGTTGAATTACTTCTTTTTCTTTAGTTATAATTCCTCTTCTTTTTTCCTACTTGTTTACTTTTTTGTAATGATAACTCTATATAATTTTTATAAAGCCTCTTTGTATAATAAAGTGAGTATTATCTATCTATTCTTTTATTTTTTCCTTCTTTGTTGTTTTCATTTGCAACTTTTTTATTATTTCTTTTTCCTCAAAACCTACTACAAAATCCTTTCTTCTTTTGTAGTAGTCTTCTTTTCTTTGTAAAAAGAAAATTTTTTTTATTTTTTTTTGCTGAAGAGAAAGATTTTTCATATCTTGTACTTTTTTAATATCTTTGACTACTACTTTTTCAATTTTTTCATAACTTTTATAAAGTTAAATAGCTTATTATATAGTCAAAATCTTCTGAATAATTCTCTTGACATAATATGCAGTAACTACTTTTGTATACTTCTGACTTTCATTTTTTTAATTCATTTAAAGTCAGAAGAGTATTGTTTAAGTACTTGACTTGTATAATTAAATTTCTGCTATCTTTTATTAAAAAGCAGTTTATTCTTCTCTGTTTTTTTATTTTTTTTTTATAGCTTTTTCTAATTATATTTACTACTTTCTATAAAGTTGTTTTTTCT